GCTGCAAGACGAGCGTTTCGTACGAGACTTCCTCCAAAAGTCACGCGCCAAGTCTCAAAAACGAGCGTTTCGCACGAGACTTCCTCCAAAAGTCCAGCGGAAACACCCATCGGAGCACACACATCACGCAGCCCTGCCAAGCAATTTCGCGATTCCAGCCACTCCAAGCGACACCCGCTCACACGCCAATCCCAATGTGACAGCGACATTCACCTCTACCACAACTTACAACCTCCCGATTCCCTGCGCCTGCCACGAATCTTTCCGCGTCCACACGTCTAACGCGTACAAAGTACTGCGCCTGCCACGAAATGTCACCTCCGTCACACATCGCAACCTCACGATTCCCTGCGCCTGCCACGAAAATCCCACTTCCACACCTCAAAACCTGCACAAAGTCCTGCGCCTGCCACGAAAAGTAACAATGTCATCTCATGTGAGCTTCAACAAAATTTGCACCACACCACACGTTTGGAATGATTTCGACCCGTTCTGAGCACACTACCCTCCACCAAAATCGGCATTTCAGCTGAGACTTGTCACGAAAACAGAGCTTCGATGCCACACCCTGAAACGCAAATCCCAATGGCACGGCCACATCCAACACCCCAAAAACACGACTCTCCAAACGCTAATCCCAATGGAACTGCGCAGCAATCTGCAGATCTCACCAAACGCTGCGCCTGTGCAGCGAAACGCATCACGTTGCTTGCGCGACATGTCTTTTTCATGCAAATCACAATGGAATAGCGGCGCAAACTGACACGTGACACATCCATGCATAGTCACGTGCAAAAGCTTCCCCCAATGGCAGCGCCTTAGCGCTCTACTGCGAACGGTTGCGGACGGTTGCGGACGGTTGCGGACGTAGAAACAACGGATCGCGAACAAGGCTCTACCCCCAGACCCCCAAGAGTTAAACGAGAACCCTTCGCTACGCATTCGGGAAAAAGTATCTATAACTGACAGACATGCTTCAACATCTTCAACTAGGCTTTTGATGAGGGGTCACAAGAAAGTAAACACAGCCTGGACAAAAAGGAATTGGCAGCGATCTGGAGAAGTACATGATGTCAAAATAAATGCACTCGTATCAAGGTAGCGGTGCCATGACTAACATACTGTAGTTGCTCACATGGCTTTGGAGGTGCGAATGACGGAAGATGTGTCAGAGCAGATAATATATATATATATGAATATAAGTATATATATAACAAAAAGCGACTGTACTGGCCTTGTCGCTCAGTCTGTTCTTCTCGACGCTCAAAACCTCTTGAAGTTGTCTGGACGTTTCGGGAATTAGACAAGCTCACAGTCACGGTCCACATACAATGCACACTTGTGAGATCGTAGGATGTTCCCATTCAGTAAGAGCCAAGCAGTAGCAGACACTGGCCACGCTGGCTAAGCATTATACATTGTGAGCTTACAAACAGCAACCTTTCTTAGTGCATTTCTTCGTCTAGGCTTCGCACTTGCAACCTTTTCGCCTGAGCGGCAAGGCTATGTTGTGAGATGCTCGACAGGGCATGCATACCTGGCCTGATCCTCTGCCGTACCTTGAGTGTCTTCAAGTTCTGCCATTGCGCGCTCATGCGCAGCCAAGAACCTCAAGTGCTGCCCTTGATTATTCCCCGATGCTTTCACCTTTCATTGTCGACACTTCATTAATCATTAACTTGACAAGTGCTGCACTTTTCGTACAAACGCTTGTACTCGTCCCGGTCCGCTTCCAGTGCAGAACGTCTGGGCATGAGCAAGCAGGTTGGTAGAAGAAGCCATACACAGAGAAGATTTGGCACACCTCTGAGTAGCCCTAATGAGCGCACTAGTACTAGTTGATGTTTCTCAACAAATAGAGGAGACAGTCTTCAGCCCCTCAAATCGCATCTTGAGTAAGAAAAACGTGATGCATTCCTGTGACTACGGAAAACATCGTCACAATTGCAATTACAACCCCTAAGGTTTCAGAAGAGCTTGAATGTCTGATATGTTTGATTCGATGTTTGTTGAACGATGGGACTGAGTGTCCAACTGCTCCTCCCACTGTCGAGCTGCCTCTTCCAGGTCCTCTTGCGTCGTCACCATCTTGTTTTCCAGATCAGTGACCTTGCTTGAGATGTTGGAATGAAATGGGTCGGTGAAACCTGAGGCAGCCAGCTCCGATACAGAATTTGAGAAGGGAGGAGTCGAAAGGTAGGTGAGCAAAAGGATGAAAATGGCACGGTACATATACATGCTATATACATACACCAGTGTCTCGATATGCCTTAGGTGCCAGAGCCTGTGTCTTGGCCCAAGAGCCTGGCCCGAGTCACCAGAACAAAGTTCCGGCCTGCGCTTACACACACGCAAGCTGGTGTTATTCGCCAATTTAACGTTATCTTCCCGCAAATGATTAGTGATTAGTGAGAGCGAATCTTCTAGGAAGCGTGAGCTATCCTGCGTCCATGCTAGTAATTAGCTTCAGCAAGGTAGTAGCCACCTAGTCTCTACTAGCTACTACTACCTCTGCTAGCAGCCTACCCCGCTAAATTATACATAAAAATAGACGTGAATACACGCCGCAAGCTTTGCAAATGCCAAACTTCGCAGTCCCGAAGAGCTGCGGCGCTCTTGCTATAGAACACAGGCAGGCCTTCCAGCTCTGTTGCACGTGCACGTTCGCATTGATAACGCCAAGAGACCAAGATATCGTCCTGAGCAACTCTCAATTCTGAAATCTCTTTTCTTCAGCGTTTGACGCACACAATGCAAAGATTCATTGGATTCATCTCTTAAGTTTGACGGTTTGCTCTGAAGCACTCCACAAAATCCTTTCCAAATTGATCTCTCCTTAAGCTTTCTTCTTATTGCGTGATTCTGGTTGCTCACGGTGCGGACGAGAAATTCCTGACGGCCAAGTCAGAATCTCCAAAGTAGGATTTGCCCTACACTATTGTGGAGCGCTCCCAAAATATCCTCTGCACTTCTCTCACAATCACTCCCCTCCGCCGCTTTTCTGTGAAAATAGGCAAGTGCCAGATGGACCTCTTTCATGAGTCGAAGCACTTCCAGTTTTCAAACTGCACTGGTTGGATGGTCCCATTCCAGCAATCTATTTAAAGCCAGGGAAAAGCGTTGGGAAGCCCTCATGTTGTACAGCGTTTCAACCCTATCAATCTGTGCTGGACCCTTCGGGCAGTTTGGCTCATCTTGCGGTCTGGCAAACGGAGATGCACCTATGACAACCATGTGATATCTGTATGGTGGCACATTTACAGAGCTGGATACTGGAGTCAAAGTCTAAACTAGCTTAGAAAGATAGATTTGTATATATATATATATAAGTTGCTCTTCAGCTGCATTTCTGCTTGCCTTCATGGCTTACCACGCCACTCGCTTGGCGAGTGGCAAAAAAAGTCTTGTTGAAGCAAACTGCTGGAGAGTTCAAACGACTCCTTAATGCAGTTTGTTGGTCTTGCCTGGTCCAGTCTCTCCGACTTGAACACTACTGTATTCTATTCTGAATTGCAAGATGTTCGTTGCGGTTTTTGCAAGTTGGAAATCTCAAAAGAAAAGGAAGCACAAATATATGTGCTTTAGTTTGAGTTTTCTTTGTCACGTCTAATAGTATGAGATAATGATCTCTATGGACCATGCAAGGAACGTGCGCCGAGCTTTACAGACTTGTTAATCTACAACATCACCTGTCACACTCCCTCTCCATGAACTCCATACTTGAGCTACTTTCTTCGCGTTGGCCGGGATTGTACATAAATACCAGTGATAAGTGATAAGTGGGCGGTGATTCTCAGACAGTTTCTGCAGTCGTTGCAACTTTCGAACAATCAAGCAAAAGCATGCATCCTTGTCCCAGCACAGTCATTTAGAGATCTTCAACCACAAAAAAAAGGAAAGTTGCTGAAATCCGCTGCAGCGCTCTGCTATGCTCTGCTTAAACTTCTGAAAATTGTAGGATTGTGGGCCCACAAAGGTAGGCTGTCGATGAACTGGCCATCCAATTCGGACAGCCGTTCACAGGTGAGACAGACTCCTTGAGAGTTGTCAGATTCTTCATACTTTTCAACAAAACACTACAGTAAGAATACAATGATAAGCATATTTCAGGCTCCTAAAAACAAACATGTGCGCTGCCAATCTGAATCCTTGTAGGCGCGATGATGCCATGCCTAATTGACGGATGCGTCCACAGCTTTGAGATTTTGCTCAGGTCCCAGGTAGATTTGGCTAACTAATAGCAGCTTTGACGCCAAATCTCAAAGAATTTGGATCAGACCGGTGATGACCGGTGACCGGAGCTTTCTCAATGATGCTGCCACATTCAGTTCAACCTGGCAGAGACAGCTGGGTCCATTGGTCGCTGGAATCTGGAAGGTTGGAATGGAATCCAGACGCTTAGAACAAAGATTTTAAAAGAATAAGGATCAGAAAAAGCAGGATAACAGGGGAAGGTCCCCTTAAAGGGGCATTACCTTTCTTTGTCATCTCGTTTCTCTGAGCTTTGCTCCGCAAGAACGCAGGGCACAAGCCCCAAGCCCGGAAAGGCCAGCAGCAGGACTATGCTTTTCCATAAAAAGCTGAAAACGACATCAAGGCTTGTGCATTCTAGACCGTGAATATATTATATAAGTGGGATAGAAAAGGAGAAGTAGCATGGCAAAAGGGAGTTTGCCAGAACTTTAATGACGAAAAAGTAGTAGGGACGAATTGTCAGAGTTGACACGATGATAAACAGCAATCGCACCATGGGATCAGTGAGAGAAAGCAGCTCCTAATAGTTCAGTCTGAATGTCTGCCAAGGATTTGACAAATGAGCCGCTCATGACAAAAAGTCAAGGGCATCCTTAAGCACACACATCCTCACCTTCTGTGTCCTATCTTGATTCTTCACTTCTCGTGTCGCCTCTCTCTTCTCCCATTGTTCTCTGATCACTTCTTCTGCAATTGTTACTACTGTAGTAAGAATATATATATATACATGTTTTAATAATTCTTAAGATCGCTCTTTCTTTGCAACGTCTCCAACAAGTCCTACAATCTTGCAGACAGCTTATGGCTTCTCGTAGACGCCAAAAACACAACGGCAGCCTGCAACATCTCATATATCTACCCTCGGAAACCTGACCTGTCTGCGTAGGTTGGAACTCGATGGTATGCCTATCACGATGGCAGCAATTCCACGCCACGCGGTAAGAAGCTTGCATGCAAAAATCTACAAGCAGCGAACACGAAGAAACAAATGCTTTTGCAACTCTAGCAGGAATGCCCTCAATCAATGCCAAGGGGCCGTGGAAACTGATATAGAAGTTGTCTGAACCCTGGGTGATACGGATCCTTGATGAACTTGTTCAACATTGTGGATATGTCGAAGTGTTTCATTCCGATGGTCTCGCGTGGAATACTTTCGGTTTGCGAGCAAACCCGCCTTCTGAAGTACCGGCCTTGACACTTCATGTTGGCAAAGCACCAAACAGGGAGCATTTCTCTAAGCCAAACACGAAGAAAACTGCTGGCGCGCAGCTGCTGCAGCCTGACTTCACTGAGGACAGAGAAGTCACAAAAGAGTCACCAACAGAAAGGTTACAGTAGGTATTCCGACAGCAAGACTTCTTACCCTACTTTCCCTTCCTTCTACTCTCCGGACTTCACCTACCCCCCCGCCTAAAAAGAAGCGAAAGGCAGGGGTCTGTGCAACTTGAAGCTGAGTGGTTTATACCATAGATCAATGGAGCTACTCCGATCCTCGCCTCTACTCTTCCCTACCTTTCTCTGCTTTTGCCTATTTGTACGTGTCTATCATTTTTTTCTCCCTCTCTCTCCCTCTCTCTCTCTCTCTCTCTGTTCTACATGTTTCATTAACTATGCCCTTTCTCCGCCTACTCTTCTACCTGCTCCAGGTTCTCTACTTTTCTTACTTCTGCACTCTGCTTATTCTCTGCACCGCTGTGTTCGTAGTAGGTGTCCTCTTGCGCTGCTCTTCGTGCATTTTCTGTCTGGATTGTCCCCTCACATGATGCCCACATTCATCCCTAGTCTAATGAATCCTGCTGGGCTGCTTCCCACATGCTATTGTTTCACGCACTAAATGTAATCCAGTGATCCACCAACCGAGCCCTTCAAGAGTCCAAAATGGATAACTGTGCAAATTTCAGCATCCGATGCGCCATTGTTCTAATGCGGTACCTTTTCCTAGATCTCGCCTTGGGTGTAAAACAGCGAACCGAAATATCACCTGATATTTCCAGCAAATTTCCCCAAGTTGGAGTGGGATAGCCTCTCCACCCTCCAGTTGGCACCTACTCCCACTTGGGTAGGCCCTACTGTATATTCAAATGTCATTCTCTTGAAAATGTCCCTGCAGCTGTGAAGTGCTGCTGTTCCAACAACTTTGCGGCATTAGCAACGATCGTCATTCCTCTTGCGCCTTGTACTTCGGTCAGCGTCAAGTTCGGAAACTCCCGCGTTGGGTTATTAGCCTCGTGTTTTTCATACCGTGTTTAAACAGTTGCTCACATGAATGTCAGGTCAATAGGTCAATTACCCCACCACCTCCCCAACCCCCCAATATTAAAAAGAATGAGCCCAACAAAAATTGTTTCTGAACCCGACAAAACAAGTACTGTAGTTGAATCCCAAGAAAGCAGTTTCCAAGCCCAAGAAGTTTTTGAACTCTAGCTTCGGTACTAGCAGTACTAGTACTAGCACCACTAGTAGAAGCACTAGTAGTAGTACCAGTATATTGTAGTAGGAGGAGTAGCAGTAGGAGCAGGATTAAAGTGGCAGTAGCAGTAGCAGCAGTAGCAGGAGTAGCAGTCAGCGGTATAGTAGTGATAGTGATAGTCATAGCAATGGTAATAGTATTAGCATTAGGGATAGTAGTAGTAGTAGTAGTAGTAGGAGTAGTCGTAGTAGTAGTAGTAGTAGGAGTAGTAGTTGCAGTTGTAGTCGTAGTCGTAGTCGTAGTCGTAGTAGTAGTAGTAGTAGTAGTAGTAGTAGTAGCAGTAGTAGTAGTAGTAGCAGTAGTAGTAACGCCAGTCCAATGACAACTGGCTCTTGTGTATTTGGAGAGTGGTTCCTTTGGGATTGGTGCAAAAACATGTGCACGCCGCAGTGGCCCAAGAGCGCCCAAACATACTTTTTCCAACACCCCTGCTGTGAATCTTGGCTGCAATAAGTCGTTGGCGCATGTGTCTAAAAAACACAGCAGCCGCACTCTAAGCACAATAGGCGCAGATCACTATGGCCCATTGTTGCCACAAAATTCATGGCAAAATGCCAAATCGGGTTTCAATCACCCTTAGATCTCTGCAAGAAGGTCTTGCACCACTTTGGATGCACGCGGGCCATTCTCCAACACCCACCTGAGGTAGACAGTGGCTGCATTGAGTTCATAGTTATTGGACCACAACAAAAATCCTAAGACACTGGGGTCCAGTTTCTGTGTTTCCTTTGAACCAAGCCACTGCTTCCTAGCCAACACTGCGCATTCCCGGATCTGATCGCTGGAGTGCCCCTCATTCTTGGCTCGCTTCCAAGCAATGGAGTAAACCTTAGTTGTGTTGGGATGAAAAAGTGGGTGCCTTATCAAGGAATCCTGACAAGAAACAGAATTCAATTTCTGTCGCACGATCCTGTCCAGATTGGCAAGGTCGGTTTGCTTGGTGTGCTTGTGTAGGGGAGGCAACAGAGTGCGACTCGTTGTTGCCTTCTGCTTGGCTTTGGCTTTGCTGGCGGCTTTCGAAGCAGCCTTCTTTGGAGAGGGCTTGCTGGCAGCAGTCCTAGCCCTGCTGACTGTCTGGCGTGCATTGGATGTGCCATCCTTGGTGGTGCTTGATTGTGGCTGCCCTGGTTTGGCCCGAGTGGTTGCGGCCTTGGGTTCTGCAGTGAGT